GGGAAGGTGTGGGCGGGGCTTGGAGGGGAGGGGGATTGAGGGCGGGACTTGGAGGGGAAGGGGTTAAACAGGTGGGGGCGGGGCTTAACGGGGTGTGGCAGAGTGGGCGTGGCACAAAAAGACGAATTGTGGGCGGGGCTTAATGGTGATTGCTTGTGGAAGGGGCGGAGCTCAAAGGGGAGGGAAGGGGAATGGGCGGAGCTTAGTTAAGTTGTGGGCGTGACTAGAAGGGGAGGGGTGTGGAAGGGTTGGGCAGGGGCGGAGCTTAGAGGGGAGTGGCCTCAAGGGGTGGGGCCTAATGGGTGGAGCTTCAGGGGCGTGGTCACCCTGCCCGTGGCCACGCCCCCTCCCCTCCCCGTCTCCCCAGGAAAGGCGCCCTATTGGCCACCAACGGCCTGGCCGTGGTGGGCGGGGCCCTGATGGGCGGGGCCAAACTGGGCCCCACCTACATCCTCATCATCATCGGCCGCTTCATCGTCGGCGCCTACTCGGGTACGGCCTCACCTGGGGGGCGTGGCTTGGCTGGGGGGCGTGGCTTGCCTTGGGGGGTGTGGCCCGTATCTCTGTGGGTGTGGCCTATAACTATGGGGGTGTGGCCTATCACTATGTGGGCTGGGCCTTGCTCGGGGGGGTGTGTCCTGTCTCTATGGGGGCGTGGCTTAGCTCTGAGGGGGTGTGGTCAGGCTCTCTGAGGGGTGTGGCTTGGCTTTTGGGGGTGTGTCCTTTAGGTAGAGGGGTGTGGCCTGGCTCAGCGAAAGGGTTTCCTGTCTCTGTGTGGGTGTGGCCTCGCCCGGTGTGGGCGTGGCCTGGCTCTGTGATATGTTTCCCTATGGGGGCGTGGCCTGTCTCTGTGTGGGTGTGTCCTGTCTCTATGGGGCGTGTCCTATCTCTGTGTGGGCGTGGCCTATCTCTATGGGGGCGTGGCCTGTCTCTGTGTGGGTGTGTCCTGTCTCAATGGGGGTGTGTCCTACCTCTGTGTGGGCGTGTCCTGTCTCTATGGGGGCGTGTCCTATCTCTGTGTGGGCGTGGCCTATCTCCATAGGGGCGTGTGTCCTGTCTCTGTGTGGGCGTGGCCTATCTCAATGGGGGCGTGTCCTATCTCTGTGTGGGCGTGTCCTGTCTCTATGGGGGCGTGTCCTATCTCTGTGTGGGCGTGGCCTATCTCCATAGGGGCGTGTCCTAGCTTCTGTGTGGGCGTGGCCTGTCTCTGTCATGTGTGCCCTCTCCATGTGGGCGTGTCCCACCCCTGTGTGGGCGTGTCCTGCCAGCCGAGCCGGGGCGCGCCGTGCCAATGCTGGCTGTGTCGGGGCGTGTCCCGGCCGCGCGGGGGGCGTGTCCCCCGGCCCGGAGGGGCGTGTCCCGGCTGACCCCGCCCCCCGCAGGGCTGGTCTCGGTGCTGGTGCCGCTCTACGTGGGGGAGGTGGCTCCGCTGCGGCTGCGGGGGGCTGCGGTAAAAATGGGCGGAAATGGACAAAATTGGGAAAAAACAGCTAAAAATTGGGAAAAATAGGCAGGAAATAGTGAAAAGTGGGCGGGGTTAACGGGAATTAGGTGTGGCAGTGGGCGGGGCTATGGTGGCATCCTGGGGCTGCAGCTCTCGGGGATAAACGTGGTAAAAATGGGGGGAAACAGGGAGAAATTGGGGAAAAACGGCTAAAAACTGGGAAAAACGGGCAGGAAATTGGGAAAAATGGGCGGGAAATAGTGAAAAGTGGGGGGGTTTAAAGGGAAAGGGGTGGGGTGGTGGGCGGGGCCATGAACATCGCTCTGGCACAGCAGCTCTCGGGGATAAACGCGGTAAAAATGGGGGGAAACAGGGAGAAATTGGGGAAAAACGGCTAAAAACTGGGAAAAACGGGCAGGAAATTGGGAAAAATGGGCGGGAAATAGTGAAAAGTGGGCGGGGTTAAAGGGAAATGGGCGTGGTGGTGGGCGGGGCTATGGTGGCACCCTGGGCTACAGCTGGTGCAGCAGCTCTCGGGGATAAACGCGGTAAAAATGGGGGGAAACAGGGAAAAATTGGGGAAAACTGGCTAAAAACTGGGAAAAACGGGCGGGAAATTGGGGAAAACGGGCGGGAAATAGTGGAAAAGTGGGCATGGTTAAAGGGAAATGGGTGTGGCAGTGGGCGGGGCTATGGCGGCACCCTGGGCTGCAGCTGGCGCAGCAGCTCTCGGGGATAAACGCGGTAAAAATGGGGGAAACAGGGAAAAATTGGGGAAAACCAGCTAAAAATTGGGGGAAAAACAGCTAAAAATTGGGAAAAAACAGCTAAAAATTGGGGAAAATGGGCCGGAAATAGTGAAAAGTGGGCGTGGTTAAAGGGAAATGGGTGTGGCAGCGGGTGGGGTCATTAACAGCACTCTGACACATCAGCTCTCGGAGATAAATGCAGTAAAATTGGGGGGAAACAGGGAAAAATTGGGAAAAAAACAGCTAAAGATTGGGAAAAATGGGCGGGAAATAGTGAAAAGTGGGAGTGGTTAAAGGGAAATGGGCGTGGTAGTGGGCGGGGCTATGGTGGCACACTGGCGCAGCAGGTGTCGGAGATAAACGTGGTTAAAAATGGGGGGAAACGGCCAAAATTGGGAAAAAACAGCTAAAAATTGGGGAAAATGGGCCGGAAATAGTGAAAAGCGGGCGTGGTTAAAGGGAAATGGGTGTGGCAG